TATATATATGAACTAGACGAGACTTATGGTTTTACGGCAGTGAAGCATCAGTGTCAACGCTGATGTTACTGTCTTTGATGATGATGATGAGAATGATGATGATGACGGTGCTCAAGTTTTCAAACGTGCCCTAGAAGCGATATCAACCAGGGCCAACCGGAAACCTTGATTCAAGGTCAAAAGTGTGCTTTCGGTTCCATTTGGTTTCCACTCGTTTGTTCACGGGAAAGTCTTCTTCCGTCACTAAGGTTCTGGAGTCCAGGCTTGCCGCTAGCCATAACACTAACAGCATTGATGCTTAGTAGAGATGTCTTGCCAACCAGAGGACGGTTTACCCGCGGCTTCAAAATACGTTTACAAGTGCTTGAAACGATCGAGACCGTTGAACGCCAATAGGTGGCAGCTCTACGCGAAGTAGACCACAGACGCCAATGAAGTAATCGTAACTATCAGAAGAAGCCGCGAATGATCATAAATGGCCGTCTGTCGGCACGGCACGGGAAAAAACAGAGGACAACAGAGACCGGTTCGCTAGCGTGCGCTTTTTTGGTTTACTCATCTGACCGGTCATTCCGTGAAATTTTATCTCCGACTGACGGTACAGGTTACCACAGATCCTGCATTTTGCGTCTTGTTTGTGAGCCGTCCGTACGCGTCTTGGTCCACCTGACAGTTCAGCAGTTTGGATTGTACCACTGAATTTGGCTTCCCACAGGTTCGGCCCAATTTATGTCGCTGTTTCAGCTGGCTTGGCATTTTTTTTGTGACGCCTGTCTCGGTTTCATTTGCTTCGCTGTTTCAGCTGGCTTGGCATTTTTTTCCGACGCCTGTCTTAGTTTCACTTGCCACTTTAATTAACTTGAAGTTGGAGGATGTATACCATGCGTTCACACGTTCGTATTTGCATTTTCACTATCCTAACTTTAAGGCTATTCGAGAACGGCGTACGGTTTTAGGACCTTGATATTGTAGGCCTGCTGCTAAGGAGACGTTCCTTTGAAACCCGAGAGGCAAAACTTGTGGTCATTAGTTGAGGGTTTGTCCTCAATGGTCCCAATGCACTGGATCCGCGTGTTTCCATTCAACTGTGGCTAGAACCGCGGTTTGAATTCTTCTGTGTACATGCTGGAGAATATCCCGGCTGTCGCGTTCTCATTGTAGGCTCATTTTGTTCTCGAAATAGTTGTTCGCGATGCTTCTACAATTTCCGTCGTGGAAATTCCAGTAGGAAGTCTCCAGTCACGTTTTGGGCTGTAACCTGGGGCAACAAGACGAATTCTTCGCTCGTACGACTATTCCTTTTTGTACCAACCTACAGGATGACCTCCAAGATTCCATTCGATTCCGTAGAAGCCCCTGGGTTTGCAGTAAAACCAAAATCGACGTGAGTCGACGGCCTTTGCGCTGGGTTACCATCCCCGAGAGATGCACCGGGGTCTCTAACGGACGCAAAAGTAACTTGTAGACAATTCGTAGCATACGATTTGTGAATAAGGTTGGCGGAAACTTACTGACTAGACTTGACTGAAGGGCCACAAAAATGGCGAAATCGGTAAAGGACTGTCCACCAGCCTTATATGAAGTAACGCGTCAAATCACCCCGAGCTGGCTTCTGTTCCATCTCCTAACCGCACTGGATTGTACTCATGGTTCGACCATACTGCTTTATCTGTGAGTCCTTCTCGATTGAATGGCGATCTTGAGAACGTATTCTCTCCCAATGTGACAGTGCGGTTGAATGTGGAATTTCCGGTCCCCCGGAACTATGAACCGGCAGGTCTTCAGTACGGTTAAGGACGGTTGGAATTTTACATTTCCTTGTGAATCAAAATCCCACTCCACGTAGGCAAACAGTTAAATGACACAGCCTATCGCGGATTGAAAAGATCGAACGATAAAGTGTTTTTGCCGAAATATTGGACAGGTTAAGTCTGCCGATTGTGGACACACTAGCTTCCATCTGATGCAGCCGAACTTGACTCACAGGAGTTTACAGGAAATCTCACGAGTTCCTCCTTACCGCTGTACCTATTTGAATCATGAGTGGAGCTCATTTTACTCATTCATCATTGAGGTGTTTCCTGCAAGTGGAGGAAAATAAAAAAATCATTAGTGGTCATCCGTTATGCGTAGATAAATGGTTAGCTGTCCTCAAAAGTTGCTTCGAACTTTTCTCGGGTCAGAATAAGGTCCTTTGTTCAGCTGTGGCGCCCTTTCGGTACCTAACTGCAGTGCCACCGGAAAGAAGCACGAAGGCTGGGATACTACCAGGTTGCCCAAGTCTAGAGAGAGGAAGTCGAGAGGCAGAGGTCGGGTTCGAACCACAGACCTTCCAGTCAGTAAATTCGCGCTCTAACCACTTGGGCCATCTTGCCCTCAATAAAGTCCTAGCTTCCGTCCTAATGAGGCTGAGACTGTGCGTTCGCACCGGTCACTGGCGAAGAGTTGGACGCAGAAATTTCTTCCTTTTGTACATTGGACAAATTTGAAGAAGCCGTATCACCAAGAAAAAACGCTAGAACTTCGTTTGCACACCATTCAATAGTTGTCAACAGTCGCGCAAACGTTATTCGACGTCACTGTTCTCTTCACGTAGACTGATCACAACAATGAAGCTTGAAGTAACACACTACTCACAGGGCTGCTGAAAACCCTTCCACATCCCCCAAAGAGTTACTTAAGGGCTAAACCAATGGACAGGATCTTTAAATTAGAAACAATAGGGAGATTCTTGGACTTATTCATGAACGCATGCTTCACGAACAGGCATAGCCGGTGGTTTGCATGGTTGGCTGGGCGATTTGATTGCAAACTTTTAATGACCAGTCGAGGTGATATCATCAGTGCCTTATGAGTGGAAGTGCGTCGAGGTTGAAAATGCACACTTGTTGAGATCAGGTGGGTTTATATAGCACCTACTCATCCAGGCGGACCCTGATCAACTATTGGTCGGTTGGATAAGCATTTCCATTGGTCTGTCGGTTGATCTATCTTGTTATTGGTCTGGGCGGCCTTGAGAATTGTCTCTTCGGTCGCCGCACTTTGATCAACACCTGAAAGTAACGCCCAGAACTAATTGTATAAGCTGGAAGGCCGAAGTTGGAGCGTATCAATTTACTACGGATCAACGGGAAGCTTTGGATTCGATAGGTGGACAACACATTTGTTAGCACCAAACGAAACTCAAAGTAACTACTGAAGATGAAATTCGACGACATCAAGTTCTCAATTAGACTAGAAAATGACAACAAACTACCTTTCTTAGGCGTATTGGTTTAAAGATTCATCATCATCAAAGACAGCAACATCAGCGTTGACACTGATGCTTCACTGCCGTACAACCATAAGTCTCGTCTAGTTCATATATATA